AGTTGATTTTTGTTACTTCTTTTCTTTCTGAGTCCTTTAGCTGTTACTGGGCATTGAGGGCACAGGGAACTCCTAGGGCATCCTGAGAAGCCCCCACCAGGTTTGTTATAAACTCCAGGCCCCTCCACCCCCCAGCCTCAGCCACAGCAGCCTGCCTTTGTCTGCTTCCCAACTTGGAGTTTCCTGCTAGAATCGACTCTGTACAAATGGGTGTTTCTCTTAAATGATCGGAAGTCTGTTCTTTTTGATTTATAGAGGCATGATTGGTTTGGGAGTTTGATAAAAAGAAGTCACAGTATTTGGGGAATTCTTATAACACCGTCTCCCCTCTCCCTCCCAAACTTAATATATATGTGTTCAGGTTAAGTATTATTGCGATATTATTGCTTCTCATATGTCTAGCATACAGAGTATGGGGTTGTTATATGGCATAAAGAAGGAACATGTTTAAAGATAAACCATGGTATCGAATTTTTTAGTGACCCCAGTAACTGGTTGGGGCTTTTCCTTTTATATATTCTTATGGAGATTTTTCAACAAATGATTCATTTTCTCCTTTCTCTCCCTTTTTTCAAAAGAATGATTTGATCCCTTAACTTCCTCCTAGGGTGACCAATAGAGCTGTTTAAAATTATTTTTAAAGAGATGAACTCAAGGATTTAATAGTTGTGTTTCAGTTCATTGCAGTAATTATCCTTTCTGCCACTCCGTTTTCTACATTGAGGAGCCTCGTTACCTCTGCTGTTTTTCATATAACCTTGCAGAACCTGAAAGCTTTCTTGCTTCCTGGTTCAACAAGATGCTCCACTGTCATTTTGCCATTTCCTACATAAAACTTATTATTTCTCATTTTTCTGAGGGACTCTTAGGTTATTTCTGAAAGAAGAAAAGCTCCATTTTGCCTTTTTTTCCTCCTATTTTAACACAATCTACAGAAACACATGCCAACAGTAAAGAAAGCTGAAGAAACCCTGCAGCATATATATTAGTTTGAATATGAACATAGTCATTACGGGAAAAGGGTACAGTGTTCACTTGAAGAGAAAGAGTTGGGTAGGTGTCAGCTCAGGTGATCATTTGAAGTACTGATGTGTTCAGGCTTTTAGGCAAGTGTAGTTTTGTTGTTCCATTTCAAATTATACTGTGTATACCGGCCCTCTGAACTGTTAGCTTCTCTAACTCTACATGTACGTAAATACAAAAGTAGATATGCGGCTCATTAGGAAGCAACAAGCCCTGGCTGGTTTGGCTCAGTGGTTAAAGCATTGGCCCACAGACTAAAGGGTCCTGGGTTTGATTCCTCCGGTCAAGGGTGCTTGCCTCAGTTGTAGGCTGTATCCCTGGCCTGGATCAGGGCGCGAGCAAGAGGCAACCAACCCATGTATCTCACATTAATGTTTCCCTCTCTCTGTCTCTCCCCGTTCCTTCCAGTCTCTAAAAAATATAGGAAAAAATATCCTTGGGTGAGGATTAACAGCAGCAACCAAAAGAAATCAACAGTTATTATTTAAGATCTTTGTACTCTGAGCAATGAGAACCCAGAGAGTTTTAAATATTTTAAAATTTATTTTAAGCTCATCTAAATGATTCATTTTTATCTGCATGCCCCAGTTAATGAAAGACGCAAAGGCCAAGGCATATAAAAATCAAAGAGTGGGCCTCTGCTGAGGGCTGCGGGACAAAGGCAGAGTGATCTGTGATGTCAGTGAAACCATGGTACCTTTAAAATCTAACCCCCTCATCCCATGGCAGAGTGCTGGGCCATCTTTCCTCTAGGCTGATGGGAACGACTTGTATATTCATTTATCCTCATTATTTTCACTGTAAATCATTTCTTAAAAATCCATTTCATGTTTATGCTCTAAAATTTAAATATCACCTTACTGATATGCATTCCAGCATTCCCCTTTTGGCAGTGTACCTATGTAATAAACAAGGTACAGAGTGGAGTCTGGCTGGAATGAACGTCTGGAATAGGTTTTCACACCTCTTCTTTCCTTTGGTCTTATATCTTGCCTGGGCATTGCCCATCTATAATAATAAAAGCTTAATATGCTAATTAGACTGGACGTCCTTCTGGACAAAGCTGGGGCTGCAAGGAAAGCCTGGTCCCGGGTGCCTGCCGTTTGCCTGAGGGAAACCCTGTCCCGGGTGCCAGAGGGAAGCCAGTGCTGGCAGCAGGGGGAAGGAAGGCCTACTCTGTTTGTATGTGTGCTCATGTCTTAGATCCTATCACTGTTCCCAGACCGAGGTAACATTTGTAGGTTCATTTGGAAGAATTTTGTCTCCGTATGCCCTCTCAGTGGAGTCGGGGGAGAAGCCACTCTATCTCTGTGATCGCAGCGAGTCATTATGGAGCAGTTGGCGCTGATACGCTTGCAGAGACACAGATTGAGTCCGACAGGACTGATGTCGCCTGGACGTTGCTGTCCTTAGAAATGCAGGCGTGAGGATGGGAGTGGTGAAGGGGCGAGGGGAGGCGGGAAGCTGATTCCTCTCGCACCTTACCTATGAAGTTTTGAGATTTTAACATTTGATAGCTGTGAATGTTTGATAAGCTGTTTTCCAGATAAGATTGATAACAATAGCTGACTTGGAGCAGCTGGCTAGCTCTTGGTTTTAAGTAGATGTGTTTCAACGTACAACATGCTTCTTCATGTCACCCACAAATTGACAGAAAGAAAAGAAAAAGACTACTTAGTGGAATTATAATTAGAATTATTTCCCCCTTTCCTTTTTGTTTTATCTTTTCTGCATTCACACCACTCACGCATAGTAATAGAAATGATAATATCTCAAAAAGTTTTCATTTTCATGTTCAAGCTCAGTTTCAGAAAAGACCCACTATAGGATCTGCATTACAGTACGTCTTAAAAAAGACAAGTCATTTTAGTGGATTTGGTTATTTCTAGATATCTCTAGTATTTCCTGTCAAAAATTTTGTATGTGTTTGAAATATTTTAATATACAAAACTTAAAGATACACTGTTTCATTTTGGAATAGACTTCTGATTGTCATTCTCAAGTGCTTCTCACAACGATAGTGGAAACACAGCATTCAATATTCTCTCTCTCATGAGCCTACTCTATAAGACGCCCTGCAAGATTTATCGAAGGTTCTATAGGAACAATTATTTATTACCTGTAGAGTCATACTTCACCTTGTTGCTTGAAGCCAGTTCCCACTTCCCTTTTCTTCCATTCCCACCAGGACCGCCATCGCTCTTACGGTCTGTGTTACTTCTCACCTGGGACTCCTGCTATGGCCTAATAGCATTCTCTAAATCATCCCACGCTCAGCTGTCAGTTAATCTTCCCAAGGCCTAGTTGCATGTTGTTCCTTGGCTCCAACACATTAAATAGCTCTCTTTGTGGTTTGCTGAATAGAGGCTGGTTGTCTTAGACTGGCATCCCAGGCTATCCGGGACCTTTTTTTTTTTCCTTAAGCCTGAACCATTTTCTTTTGCCACCTCTTCTTTTGGTTTGCTAATGGATCCATCATGCCAGCCCACTGTCTCAGTGTGGCCTCTGGACCAGCTACATCAGCATCACCCAGAAACTTGTTAGAAAGGCAAGTTCTTGGACCTGACCGCAGACCTACAGAATCCCAGACTCCGGGGGGGATGCCCAGCTACCTGTCTCAACAAGCCTTCCAAGTGAAGTGGTTCTGAGCACACAGACATTTGAGGAAACTCCGTTCCAGGCAGAACAGGCAACTCTCCTTTTCCAAAGACCCTGTCCACTGCCCTGCCTCTGCCCAGAATTCCTGAGATGCCTTTCTCTCTTCGTGGTAAAATCCTGCCTATATTCCAAGGTCCAGTTTGAGACACTGCTTTTTCCAGGATGCCATTCCTGATCCTTTCTTTTCTTGTTGGTAATACTCACCCGAGGTTATTTTTTCCACTGATTTTGAGAGAGAGATAGAGAGAGAGAGAGAGAGAGAGAGATTGATTGACTGACTGGTTGCCTCTCACTTGCGCCCCAACCGGGGCCGGGGAACGAACCTACAACCCAGTTACATGCCCTTGATCTGGAATCGACCTTGAAAGCCTTTGGTGCCCAGGCTGACGCTCTACCACTAAGCCACACAGGCCAGGGCCTGATCCTATCTTTGATGGCATTACTTGGTTTTCCTTCCTGGTACTGATCACTTGTTCACTTACATTAGTCATCTGTTGTATCTGTCGTATTCCCCCTACTAAAGTGGAAATCACAAGAAGATAGAATTTGACTCATTCAGTACTGTGCCAGGCGGCATCTCTGATGCCTTGCACACAGTAGGCTGTCTAAAACTAGTTTGTGTTTTATTGATTTTACAAAGAAGATTGAGAAAATGAAGCGTTGCCCAGGAGGCATATAAAAGTCCTATTAAATCAGAGTGGCTCGCGCTAACTATTGTTTTGACTTACTGAAGCCAAACTAGACTTGAAAGTCGATGTGTCTACAGGGAAGAAGCCAAATGTGCTAGTGGGGAAAATTCTAAATTCTGCTGTTTAGCTGGAGAAGTTGAATTGGCCCTGTCATTTCACCTGGTGCCAAGAAAGCAGCTCCCATTATTCTGCCAATGATAGACGATTGGTTATCCTGCGCGGCAGAGCTTCCTAACTCTTTCTCAGAGCGGTGCTGCGCTTCCTTCCACTGTGTGTTCACAGACTGTTTCACAAGAAGTGACAGTTTCTTCTCACAGAGTGTTGCCCCAAAGGTGGCACACGCAGAGAGGGAAACTCAAGGGGGTTCGCTTTAGGATGGCCTGAAAAGGGGAACAAGAGAAGCGAGGGCCGCCCATTTTACAAACCAAGTTATGTACGTCCTAACACAAAGGCATCCTGGTCCCACTTCCTTGTGAATGAGCAGGGGGTTGTGTGTCTCAGTGGTGGCTGGGATGGCAGGAGGGGAAGAGAGTGCGGAATCTAAGCTGTCTTTGTGTTTTCTCCCCTCTCGTGTCTCTGTCTGTCCCCTCGCAGGCTCTGAAAGAGTTCCAGCTGCAATTTCAGATCGGACACGGTCGCCGCGGTGTCAGAGGCAGTGAATCCGAGCTGCCAGCGCGTGCTGCTGCCGGGCTACAGGATGGTGCGGGCAGCCAGGCCGCTGCTGCTGCTCCTCGCCTTCTTCCTCCGCGCGGATGCTGAGAGTAAGCCATTCTCCCCTGCGCGTGGGGGCTGGACCAGAATGAGTGGTTTTGTTTGCAGTTGGCACCGGGCTCAGGGCCTCTGAATGGGTTTCCTTTGGAAGTAAATCCTGAGACACTGTGGGATTCTCCTTGGCCACCAGCCAGCCTTTGAAAGAGATTATTGACGTGACTTCCTTACCACTTCCTCTCGCTCTCTCAATGCCCTCTCTTTTTGTGCATCTAACTGCTCCTACTGTTTTGTCCTTTTTTTTTTTATACTCTTAACCAGTCGGGTGGCAAAGATACTATGACGCCAATGACATAAGGCAAACTGGGGTTAACCAGTTGGTGTTGCCAATAAGTAAATATTGTTCAGACCCATCAGAAACTTCTTTAGTTTTGTGGATATTTCTATGTTTAGCGAAACACACAGTGTCACAGTGAGCCCAATTAAACCTCCCAGCCCCTTGTAGCTGTCGTAGCAGCTGTTCCCATGTACTGTTTCCGACAGCTGTCGTCGAGTACAGCATTCAAACAAATCAAGCAGAACTGACAACTTCGTGGCGGGATGAAGGGCGTGGAAGTGTGAGAAGTCTGTGGAGCAGAAACAGTAAAGTTTGGGTTCTTGGACTCAGTTCATGAGACGGAGATTGTTTGTGGTCAATTAGCTTGCCAATTAATGGGAAGATCATATCTCCTTCGTAATTAGGGCATCATTCGGTCTACCTTGTCCGCATTGGTTTCTTTTCCCATCTGTCCTGTGGCCATTTGGAAGCGATAGTACTGGAAACAGACATGTCTGTGGCTTGTACGCACAGCCTGTCTGGTTCCTCGGGAGTGGTTTAGCTCATAGGAGAGTTGGCTGTTCTGGTTGGGGGTCCCCTGGTCCTATGAAAATGTATATCAGCTGCAGTCATTAGCTTTTCCCTCCACTGACTATGTCAGTGAGATTAGATTTGATTCATGGTAAAGATGTTTCGAAGGCACGGATCCTGTGTCGTGTTGGCCCCTATTAATTGCATTTTGACAAGAATTTCCTCAATAGCAGCCAATTTCTTTGTTGAAATAGGAGCTCCGTTTTCTAAAGAGAGCTTTCCAGGAGTGAAAGAATCATGTTAATAATAGGATACATATGGAACACGCATGTTTTAAACACAACATTCTCTGGTTAATAATGTATATAGTTTCCTAATTAGCACTTGGGAGTGTTGGTTTAGAGTGAAGCCAAGGAATTTTTCATACAATGCCAGCAAATAATTAACTGGGAAAAGACCCAAATGAAAGATGCTCTTGTTATGTTAAAGCCCTTTATGTCAAAACCGATTTTAAAGTTGAAATCTAAATTTAGTTTATTAAAGAAATCAGGCATATGGCTTTATTTTCCTGTTTTGGCTAGAGTGAAAAAATTGAGTTGTTTTACAATTGTTACTTTTTGGCAAAAGCCTATGGAGACCTTGGGAACCCACTTTAATATCAGATTGCAGTTAGAGATTTTCTTTGTTATTAGGTAGAATTATTTATCTGAGAAGTTATCCTTCCAGATAAGTAAAGATGTTCTTCTACTGAGTACCTGTTCTCTTGTTTAATTCTGTGGCGGGAAGTGGCAGGCCTATGTCAAGAGCTTAGGAATCCATACTTTTACAATAATGTTTGAAAAAATACATTCTAGTATAGGTGATCATCCCCTCCTCCATCTCCTGCTCCTCCCCTGACTTCTCCTTCTCTGTCATCACACTGCCTAAACCGTAGAGTCTTACAAAAGCAGTAACAAGGGCATGGTTAGCAGTTTTTAGTTAAATGAGGATATGTATCATGTTATATATGCATGTGATACCAGCTTTCATAACATCAAAATGTAACCTGGGAAATGATCCATTCTCTCTCACTCTTGCTGTTGCAACTGAAGTGTGGGGACAGGGGTCTTAAGACCTTTGCTAATTCATTTTGTTTAGTTTGCCCTTGTCCTCTCAGCCTTGATTTAGTATATGTTTCCTTTATCAGATTCATTTGGCATTGTTGAATAGCGTGTTTAAATGAGTCTGAGCTTCCTGGTGAAACAGGAAAAATGAGCCAGTTTTTCTTTTGTACATTTTCAAAGGAGGAAGAACATCATTTAGTAATCCACTGGAGGATATGCATGGTACAGGAAAGCACATGGTAGAGATGGAGATCATTTTAGCCACTAAGAATGTTTAAAGAACAATTGATAAAATAGGATTTAGATTGTAACCCATTAAAGTGTTCCATTACCTTCTCTTACAACACTAAAAAGAATCAAGATATAGGTAGCACTGACGAAAACATTGTTTTCTTCACCATCATAAAGATAATATTTCTCAGGCTTCTGTTACCTGTGTCACTGGTTTATTTCTTGATGTCTTCAGTAGCACATTTAGCCATATTTGTTTTTCCTTTTTACTTGTTTTGTATTTTCACAGGTGATTGGGAGTTACATTTCAAATTTTAACAGTAGTTTGTCAGAGCAATTTGAGAACTATGAAATAATTTTTTTCCCCTTTTGAAGAAGCAGACTATAAAGCGTTAGGGAATGGAAAGAAGCCCCTCTAGTTTACAATGTTAATTTAATGTGTTCAATGTACTGCCTTTTGAAATGATTAACTCCAAAGAGCCAGTGAGTCAGGATTGTAATCTGCTCTCTGGAACGCCATGGGAAAGTGTTAGGTGTGATGTTGCATTAAGTAGGAGAGTAACTAGAAGCCTTGGTTCAAACCCAGGTGGAAAAATTGTGGTAATATCCCTTAAGCAGAAAATTACAGTCTTTGCCATTGCCAATTTAAAATGCCCTACAGGTCCCCACTATTAAGTCTGGATGTGTGTATGGATCTTATTTCTTTGCATTCCTCTGCCTTGAAGGCTTGGAATGATTTTGCTTGTTGCTTGAATGCATGCACACATGGTAGAGCTACAGTCTAGAGAAAGCTAAGTATGACTTCTGTTTGAGCACTAGCAGCAGCTCTTCCTCATGCCAGGCCAAACAGTGTTTTAGTTTAGATCATGGTCTTATTAGATCATTATCCAATTCAACGATAATGGGCATGTAATTCGAGATGAATTTAGATTATATAATACTAGAGGCCCTGTGCATGACATTCATGCACTGGGGGTGGGGGTTGGGGTCCCTCAGCCTGGCCTGCGCCCTCTCACAGTCCGGGGCCCCTCGGGGGATGTCCTACTGCTGTACGATTTTAACTAGATGCAAGACAGGCAGCTACTGTTAGCAACATTTTTCATCAAACTGGTTTCACATCAGTGAACTCACTTACCACTTACTGTTTCATTCTAGACCTGAGTTGATACTTCGGCCACTGTAATTGGACCTGCATGTTTACTGGATCATCATTAGAAAGATAACTCTTGATAGTTTAATTCCTCAAATGGTCTCATTCATCCATTTTCTATTGACTTTTGTCATTTAAAAAAATCTCTAATGGTGAACACTCCTTCATTTTCCTTCCTTAGTGTTAAGGAACCTTCCTCTGATCCCTATGAACTCATTGCATTTCCATCATGTATGAAAGGAATTCGTTTCCCCCCTATATGTTGTTATATCACTATATCCAGGGAATGTGTTTATTTCTTTGGCATTGGAGAGTAGACTGATGTCTATGCTGTATGATAATCATTTTCCCTTTATGCATTTCCTAATGAGATGCATAGGTTAAGCATTAAGAAAGTGACCTATGAATTCAAAATAGTATTAAATTCTGGCTGCCATTTTGTAATCTGGAACATGACACATCATGCTCTCTGCCTCAGTTTCCCTATCTTTAAAATGTGGGTGATGATGATGATGTTGGTAATGATGATGGTGGCGTAGTTAGTAAAAAAGAACTTTAAAGTAGCTAAATTAGCAGCATCCAGCTGTCTGCAGCAAGGAAAATATTCCAGTTGTTTTATTGATCCCCTAGGCCAGTGGTCGGCAAACTCATTAGTCTACAGAGCCAAATATCAACAGTACAACGATTGAAATTTCTTTTGAGAGCCAAATTTTTTAAACTTAAACTATATAGGTAGGTACATTGTTATTAACTTTATTAGGGTACTCCTAAGGCTTAGGAAGAGCCACACTCAAGGGGCCAAAGAGCCACATGTGGCTCGCGAGCCTCAGTTTGCTGACCACGGCCCTAGGCCCATTGCAGAGTTTTCTATATTAATTACACCCAGTAAAGCTGTATCTACCTAGTAAGGTTAAGAATATGTTTCAGAATCAACAAATGTGTATACTTCAAAGCATTTTGAGTGTAGAGGGATGTGCTTTTTATGAAAATCTGAAGTATATTTGTTATCTCTGCTCTCTGTTTGTGATGAGACCCTAAGCTTGAAGGATGGAACGGTATCTAAAATATTTGTGAATTACTTATTGTGATTGCTAATAGCCGGGCTGTAACTGACTACTCTTTTGTATGATGCCCTCATTCCTTTTCCTTCACATTCTTGGTGTCTCATTTTCCCCAGTTACCTATGATTCACAGGACTCATTTCAAACTACCTTCATTTGTTTGGGAGCCTCCTCCTTCCTACACATATTCTTTTGCTTCAGTTAATTCAGAAAACTTCTAAACAGCAGGTGCCTTGACATGAAGAATCAAAGAGATTCTTGTGTGGAAACCAATCGCCTCACCTATAATTTTGTCTTTCCTCTTTTCTTTCTTCAGTTTGCTTTTGCTTCATTTATTCATTCACCTAGCTACTGTGTGTGTGTGCACTTGCATGAAAAGCTTTGTGCAAAATGATATAGATATAAAGGTTTAAAGAAGTGTGGTTTCATATCAGTTTGTACTCTTCAGAATTCATCGTTCAGTGTTTCAGAACTCTCCCAAGCAGTATTTTCAGACTCTCTCTCCAGGCAGGAAGTTGCCCTTAAGAATATAGACTCAGGAGGTGGAGAACAGGTACTCAGATCCTGCCTGTGCTATGTAGTTATTCTGACCGTGAGCACGCTGAAACTCTCAAGTGCCTCTCAGCTGCAAAACGCAGATTGAAAATAACATGCACTTGAT